CCTGATTGGTAGGGCAGACAAATTCTTACGTCATAAACGAGGTGGTTAGGAGAACGCAGCAATGAGATTGCGATGCAGTTTATGGTATTTTACTCACAGTTGTTCACGTGTATCGTTATTACTTTCCCGGCGAGAATGAAACTAAGTGTTTGACATCATTGTGGTTTAGGAGAGTTTAGCTTTGGACATCGATGTCTGTTTACGTCATTTTTAAATTAACGAAAACATGGATAACTCATGCAACTAATATCTACGAAATATGTACGTAGGTGTGATACGATGTTTAAGAAATATGATTTCAGGTTTTTTAGTGCTAAAAAATTGCTTGAAGCATGCCGTCAATTTTTATTTTTGAAGGTAAATGTTCATTTCCATAATGTACAGAAATATTTTTCTGAAATTTTCAAATCATCATTTGCGTCCATTAAATATGAAATGTTTAAATTGGAACTTTATAATTGAGATTTTTTTTAAAACAATTGACCATGGAAGTTTTTTTTAAGATACTGAATCTGCTGAAATTTATAGCATAACGTAATATAAATTAGAGGTCTACTGGTTTAGATATCCCATTAAACATTTTGCTAGTGCTAACGCGAGCAGTGCTAATGATTTTGATTTTCGAAAATTCCATTAAAACATTTATAAAAGTTTAATAGGAATTCATAAGAAATTAAGAGAAATATATCACATTTGATTTTAGCCGTTTCTCTTAAAAACCACCAGTGGATCGAATTTAAATGATATTTTCTTACTATATTTCACAACCCCGTGTTATGATTAGAAAATTATTTCACTGTTAAAAAAAGAAATAAAAGAGTTAGCGTTTTGAATTTTTGTAAAATTTATGCAAGAAAATAAGCCTGTTTTAATTAAATTTCAAAATTAATTGATTTCTTAATCCTGACATGTAATAAAGATTGGAGAAAATGAGAAACTAATTTTAATTATTTGACTAGCGTGCGTCTAATTAGCGGGTGAATAGTGTCATGCTACTGTCATAAACTAATACTGTCATGCTTGACACTAAAGTTGGGGTTATGTGAAATTGTTGACAGTTTATGACGAAGTGTAGAGAGTGAATAAAAGTGTGTCTTCCATCATTTTGGTTCAATTTCAAATATTTTGGATAAACAGGTTAAATATTTAACTGTTAACTAACGTTTACACTTAAAAGACAAAAGTTCTGTGTTATTCTGGCGGTTTTGTACTGCGTTTTTATTCATTTTTATTTTATGATTGTAAATATGAAACTTCATAAATGTTTATATAAATCAGAATGGCAAATGAAATTAGATCATGATTCCAGTTAGTAAGACATGTATTGAAGTAATTTTTAGTTCCATTTGCTTAAGATTATTTTGATACCACAAAGTAATTATCAGAGTTTGTGCCACATTCTATTTAAAATCAAATTCTGTTTATTACAATTTCCAATTGCTCTCTTATGTTACAATTTCATTATCATTGTCCACGCTTATTATTTCATACTAAATAGTGCACAATTTTAACGCAAAATTACACAATTATAACGTCATAAAAACGCATAGTTTAAATTTAAGGAAAATATAAATAAGTTTAAAGCATGATACTTTGCTTCTGAACTGAAAGCATATGTTTATCTATATTAACATGACACGTAGCAAAGGAGAGTGGAAAAAAAACCAAAACAATATTGAAGAAAAGTGTGGTACTTATAGACTGCCTATAATTATCAAATATTTGGGTCATTTTAAATGAATTAGATAATTTTTATTCACTTTTCTTTAAAAAAAAATTATAAAAATAAAACAAACTAAATCAAATTTAAACCAAATGATAAATTTTCATATTAATCTAATATTAAATTTAAAGACACTTAAATTAAGCATTAAAAATAATTTGATAGGTTATAATAAACAAACAATTCAAAACCCACTTAAAAGAATTTTCTACTCTGTAAAAATATCCGAATCAAATTACTGTATAAAGTAACGGCAATTTAGGTGCATCATCCGTAAAATCCGTTCTTACCGTAAAATAGTATACCGTAATTTTTACAATAATATTTATTTAATTATAGTGATGCAGTGATTTCACAGAAATTATTATTGTCAAAATTGCGGTATATCAGAATTTTTTTTTTCGGAGCATGATCCGTTAAAAATTGATATTTTGGAGAAAAAAAAAGTACTGGCTTTATGAGTGCCGGTGTTCATACCGTAATTTTATGTGCAATTTTTAATAGTGTATTTATATTCTTCGTAACGTTCTGAGTTGATTTTGCTCAAACTACGTGGATTCCTATTTCCTATAAACTTTTCTGGTTGATTCATAACCAAATGAATGCACAGATCTGTCATAAATAAATTTTAAAAAAAACTGAAATCATGCAGAAATAACTAATAGCAAAGTATTAACAAAATTTGATTTTTTTTAAATTTTTCAAAACTTGAAAACCTTGACTATTTAGATTATTTTAAACAAAAATTACTGATTACTTTCTAAGTGTGCATGAAAAGCACCAAAAACACTATTTAATTATTTTTTTCCTAAAAAGTAATAGCCCCGAGGTTACTTCTTTTCAGAACACCGCCCGCCCCCCCCCCAGAATGCATTATAATTTTCTAGTTAAGTTACATACAAAACTTTCTAAAATATTTGCTTTCTAAAATATTTTCTGTTTTAATTATCAGTATTAATAACTAAATGATAATAAATGTATTATCATTTAGTTTTCAGTTATAAAAATCAATTTGTATGGTTGTATTTAATAATCAGTTTTTAGCAAGAAAAATATTAAACAATAAAATTTTCAGTATGTAACTAAATAATTTATCATTCGGAGAAATAATTGAATAAACACATTGGGCATGAAAGCCAATGACTATGGGATTTCCATTGTTTTAGAACATGATTCTTCAAATGTTAGCTACGTAATGTATTATTATTCTAATAAGTTAGAATTACAAGAGCTTAATCAATTTCTACGAGTATATATTTATGCAGTTGTGTTAAAAGTCAAATGGACGCTTAGTTATGTACTCAAGTTTTTATTTAAGTACTTTTATTTCTTATGTACTTAAAATTAATGCATTTTGTTTTTTTTATAACCAATAGAAAAATAACTCGCCAATATCAAATGTTGGAATATATGACATTGGTTTAAGAATATTTTAAATAGCTTTATTATTTTTACCAATAAATTTATAGTTAAGCTTTAAATCTCAAATTTGTGGTCGATACATTTAGATTATTACATTTAGATGAAAAAAATGCATTCTATATTCTAAAATATCCTTAGTTTTTAAACATCGGATTAATGGTTTCTAAGCAAATAATCTTACAATAGATTGCGAATACCATGTTTACAATAAATTTAAAAAACCTACCGATATCGACGTAGATAATATTCCAATACAATAATATGAAAATAATTATCGATAATAAGTGTAGAAAACATAAGTGTGCAATTTCGCTAAATAAAATTTTTTTAAAAAAATCTTAGAAAATTAAAATATGCCATTTGGTTTCGAAATCAATTCAAACCATTACGCGAAATATTGCATAAAAAACAATACAATCATAGTGATGAAAAATTTATTTAATAAACATGTCTTGAATAGTCATATCGACTTAGCCCTTGATAAATTACAATTCTGGTCAAAACTCTACAATTTATTTTTGTTTCTATCTCTTTTCCAAGTACTCTCATGAATAAAGATTGGGTAAAACCTGTCTTTGTTACCAGAACACAACGCGCGTTAAGAATCGGGAGTCGTAGACTTGGTAGAAAAAAATATTTTTTTGCAAGGAAAAAAAAATTTGCACAAAGGGGAAGGGGCTCTGGGAACTTTTTAGATATTCAAAAAAAATTCTAACCAAATTTTTTGTTTAAAATATTTTTATGCTGCATACGAAAAATGCTCATAAATTTCTTATGGAAAACACCGTTGAGCTTAAATTCTGAAATACCTAAATAATTTATTATTATTTCGAATAAAACTTCCCACACTGAGTTATTTAATATTTTCTTATGCTATTAATGATAAAAATGTTTAAAAAATTATAAATTTGTATGTTTCTCTTTTTTAATACATTAAAGTAGAGTAAAACGCGTTTTCTGAAGACAAACCAAACTACAACTAAATATGCATAATATACATATTCGCAATACCAGTTATTCATTTATAATTGGTATTTTGAGGTATTATCTTTGCGAAAAGTACGTCAACTTCACAAAGAAAATCACTTTTAAAGTTTCAGCATAACTACTGTTCGATATTGCAAAACAATTGAAATTTTTTGGTATCGTTTTAAATAAAAAAAATTGAAATATTTTTTTATTCATTGGAAAAATTATCTGAATTAATTTGTATCTTAAAATCGTAAAATTAAAGGTTATATGTAAATAAACATTAGAATTTCATAAAATTTAGTAAACGTTTGTAAAAATTGAAACGAAAATTTGAAAGAGTCTTTTAGTTCGCAGAAGCATTTTCGAAACTAAATTTTTAAATACAAGGATCTACAACAATGATTGAAAATTGAGTTAAGAATTATTTAAATACCATTATCAGTCCCGCAGTGGACTGATCGTTAAGACCCGGTTCCCAGCAGACCACCGAAGTCAAGCATCACTGGTTGCGGTCAGTGTGCGGGTGGGTGACCACTTGGATTAGTCTCTGCGTAGGGACCGAGGGTGTGCTGCATTGGTCCTCGTTAAACTGTTCTATCGTAAAGTGCTCGACTTCGCGTGCAGGTCGTCGGGCTACCGAAGCGGGGGTGCCATCCCCTCTGCAGAGGATCAAACTTGTGATGGCATGTCTTCGAATCATCCTCAGGGATGTTTCCCAGACCGTCGCCAATAGCCCATTGTGCAGCTCTAGTGCGAAGTAAATTAACTACAACAACTACGACAAATACCATTATCTCATAAAAATACATAACACTATAAAAGTCCATGCAATTTTTCTTTCATTTTTTAAAACAATAATTTTATAAACTTAATAATTACTTACTCAATGAATTATTAAAATCCATGTAGATTTTGTTATTGAAATTTGATTAATTAATGGCATTTTCAATGCTTTGAAGACACGCTATTTTTCACTTTTCAATATTCTTCTCAAAATCCATATTTAAAAATGCTTCAAACATGATAAGAAACACAAAGTTTTTTTGTATCGAAAACTAATTGAAATTAAACTCAGACATTTAATCTATCATACATTATTTATATTTCAAAATATGCGCATAATTCCACAGGTGTCTCTTTTTTTCCGATTTTTTTTCTTCTTGCTAAACTTTTCATTTCAAAACATACTTAAAAAAAATCTGATAAAAAATAAACTCAGAAACTCAAAACTGACGGATTGTTTTATTCGTTCGTAAAATATTTCTTATCGGTTTGTAATAGTAGAAAAAATATCCGATATTCCGGTAACAAGTAAACAAGAAACTTGGAATAGATGTGCAGAAGAAGAGATGCTATCGCAATTGTGAAAGTCGAAGATCGAAAAGAGCTTCCTGATTCTCTGCCTCTGCGGAGCGCACTAAGTCTGAAATCTGATTGGAGGTAAAAGAAGATCAAAGCGCTGTCTAGCGGCAAGCTGTGGTTGACTTGCATCTTTTTTGTTGTTTAAGAATTTGATACTTACCTTTAAAATTTTAGACTTTACGTTGTATTTCAAACATGATATTTTTTTTAACTCCGTTAAAAACTGTTATTTTAATGTTTGAAACATTATGTAGTAAAAAACTAACAACCATTTTTCGAAAATATTAATATTTAAGACAGATGGTTTGTGGATATACCTAGCTTTATTTTTTTCTTAAGAAAGTTTTTAAATTTTGTGCAATGTTTTTATGAATATAATAATATTTTATTGAAATTTGACTTCATAGATCTTATTCTATTTCACAGTTAAAGTTAAGAATATAAAACATGAATTGACTTAAACTTCATTTTGTGGAATCGTTTGAATAAACAGCAATCAAAATAATATTATGGGATTCTAAAATAAAACATAATGAGATTAGTGTTTAACAGATAGATATTAAAATATTTAAAGTTTTAAAATTAACGTGCTGTAGAAAATGTGAAAGCAATTTTCTTTATACTTCAACATTCGAACAAAGCAGTTTTACCTACCTATATATATATATATTTTTTTTTTTTTTTCAGCAGCCATATTAGATTAACATATTTTTCAGATAGCACTTTTTTAAGAGTTGGCACATAGTTTTAAAGAACTAATATTTGAATAAATAAACTATGTTTTGGTTAAAAGTTCTTTATTAAATATTTTGAAAAGCGTTAGCAAAATTATCGAATTTTCAGTCTCTGTTAAACTTGAATAGATCTACAGGGCACATTTCTTATCGTTGCAAAATAAGTATAAAAATATTAGAAAATTATACTTAAATGAAAAAGATCGTTATTTCGTAAAATTTCATTCAAGATCGATATTTCCCCAGTTCTATCCTAGAACAATAGCAATTCTAAATGAGGAATTGCTTTGATAACAATTTTTTTAAGCCGAAGGGTTTTGTTAAACAATTTAGATCCAGAAAAGAATCAGATAAAAATGCATAAATTTTGCCTGTATTGCTTACTGTGATAAATAAAGTATACATGTTTAAAACACTTGCAACTTAGTATTTTTTAAAAAAAGAAAGATATTTAAAAATTTCAAATTTTTAATATTTTTCACAGTTTGAACTTATCTAAAACAATTATCTCGAATAGTAAACAAATTTAACTGAAAATTAATTTCAAACCTATTTTCGTTTTAAATTTTGAACATCAGAAATAAAGAAGTATATGAAGTTTTTCTGATTTGTTTTCCTTTTTGTTTCAAAAAGTTTCCTCTTAATTGGTCTTGCTAATGAATCAGCACTTTTATCAATGTTATTGTTATAAAACTCAATGTTAACCGAATGAAAAGAAACTGAAGTGGACAGTCAAACTTGCTAATGTAAAGTCTATAATTTCTTTAGTCATTACAGATTCGACAAATAGACAATCGACTGAACTGAATTTAAAAAAATTGCAATTAAACTAGAAAACGTAGGTCTTTTAACGAAAGAACAACTAATATGGGATTGTCCTATTAAGATTTTGACTAGGAATTAAATAAAATCATCATCTCTTCATAAGGCTCAGAAATGCAGCCTGCTTAGATTTCCATTTTCAGACTACAGTGCTCTTTTACCTGTTTTGCTTTCCCATTTTTTGGCAACTTTACGTTTCATCTATCACATCTTTTTTTTCTCATTCTCACCTGGTAAGTCAAGTAAGGAAAATATGTGTCTATTTTTTAGCTCTTGAAAAAGGTTGACTTTTTCTCTTTTATTATTTTTTTAAAAAATAAATTCATTATTTAATGGTTCACTTAAAATATTTATTTTCGTATTTGAAAGCTTTTTTATGTATACCTATAGTTTGAACACATTGTACTAAGTAAAGTTCTTGATGTACGCTGAAAGTAAACCATTAATTTTCAGAGTTATTGACTTTCTCTGTTTAATTGTTTTTAAGAATTTGTGTGAAAAGTAGACGAAAAAGAGTAGAATTATTATATACAAACTGCATATATATTTACATTATTTAAAGTTAAAGAAATTGTAAATCATAATTTAAATTCAGAAAATAAATAATTCACAATTACGAATGTTACGCAAGTTACAGAAATTAATACACACAACCTTAGAAATTTTTTAATAAAAACTTTTGTTCGTTCTCATATTCTATCTCTGGACATTATAAACTAGTTTGGAAACAATAAATGGGCATCTCAGTAAATTATTCTCTTGAGCGGTATTACTGTAACGTTAGAACTATCAATATAATCATAACTTTGATAGAGAGTAAACAGACTCAAACTAAAATATGACAAAGACACTATATTATAAATGTAGAGTGGTTACTTTTCCAATTCACAGCGTAAACTTAATATTTCTTTTTCGAGTTTCTAAACAGCTACAGTGAAAATAGGGAGAAAGGAAACTTTGAAAAGTGCTTTGTGCATACTGTCGCAGTAAATTATCTTAAAATATTATTCCTTTATTTGCATCATTCAGGTAATTAAAAAATATATTAATCTATCGTGATACTATTGATTAATATGTATAGTTACTAACCCAATTGATATTAGTAACATTCTAAAAAATGTGCTAGTCCCTAACTTTTAGCGTCAGAAGTTATCAATACGTATACTTCTGTTCTATTTTATTTATACACCTTTTCGGAATAAAAATTGAGCTCTAAGCATTGCGTTTAGGGATTTTATGCAACCTTTCACCATTCTCTATACCTTTACATTATATCATTCTAGCAGTTTAGGCAGATCGATTTATAATCGAACTATCAATATCGGCTGCAGCTGGGGCTTATTTCCTTTTGAAAGAAATGGTAACCATTGCATTTGAGTGTTCGCTTAGGGGACAGATAACTTCAATTCCAGAGTCTCTGAGTAGCCTGTGTAGAAAGATGGAAGTATTTTATCCTTATTTTATCGATACTATTTATTTTGATAACGTTTTTCAGTGGAACAAAATAGCTTCTACGAAAAGCTTTAATAAAAACGATATTTCTTAATGTTATATCAAACGATTCTTCGTCATATAGCTTTTGGAATGATTTTTTCTCTAAACTTTCTTTATTGGAAACTTTTATTTATTATTACGATCGAAATGTATGTATTTTTTTAAAAACCCATATTTTGTAGGGATTACGTGCACTCCCATTGAAGTGTATACATTATTTAAATTTAATAGTTGATTGCTTTTTTTAAGCTTTTAAAATAAAATTTTCTTCTAAATTAAGTATTAAAAATGCATCCATAACATGTAATTTTAACGTCCATCTGAGTCATTGCGTATGGGTAGTTGAAATAAAATTCCTAGTTGCTATATTTATAGATATCGTGCCTTATAAGTTTTTACTAATTAGACATTTTTCGAGCACATTTTTAAAGGAAATATTCACTAAATTTGAACTGAATGGCATGGATCATAAGCTAATATTTTGGGTAACTTTTGTCAGTTTGAAACTTCCAGTTAAATCTGTATAACTGAAACTTGACAAATTAATAATACGGGTAACGTTTGCCGGTCTGAAACTTCATGCAAATTATTATAGAATTTTTTATCAGTTGTAAAATAACTTTTCGGCTTAGCTATCCGCTTCCAAAGTCAAATTATGGTGCAATTATAGTGTTTAAATATATATATTTGTTTTTTCTTTCAGAAAAATTCAATAACTTGCTGGAAAACGTTACAAATAAAATCCGAATTAACCCAAACTAACCATAAGAATTTATGAAAAATGATACCTTTTCTGAAGCTAAAGTAAGAAAAAACTAAATTTAAAATTTTATTCATTGCCATTTTAACTATCGCCGCACAATAAATATCGAAAGAAAATGTTTATCTTACATACGATATCGACAACATAAAGGTGATTCTTGTATATATTCTTGAGACAATTTAACAATTATTAAATGAAACAACAAGTATCGTTACGTGATTGCATAAAGCTTGTATAATAGATAACTATCGAAAATGATGAATGATAAATAAGCATTAAGATATCTTTATTACGTCTCTGTAAATAATAGAATGCAGATGTATGTACGTGTTTTTTTAACATTCTACTGTTTTCTCTTTTTTTTTAGATAGTTAACTTTGTTTTACTGCCAAAACACATATGCGTATAACCAATACAGATGTGAGTCTTCCATGCCAGTGGAAAGATTCTGATTAATTTATTCTATTTATTTTGTACTATCTATTTATTTTGTACTATTTTGTATAAGTTAATTTCAAACTAATCGTAAAGCTTGAAGGAAGGAAGTTTCAATACATTCTTAATATAGATAACAAAAATGTTGCAAATATTACAAAAGTATTCTTTGGAATAATTAACAATTGTTTTTGCTCATTTTAAAACAAATGCACTCAATTTTTTTAAACGTTCAAAACAAATTTCAACTGCTTAATTATTTATCCTCACGCCTGTATGAAAAAGATTCTGATCGGTGAGCTTTTTTACTCAGAACTAACTCCAAATGAGAGTTTAAGAAAATGGACATTGCCAAAAATATGCCTCTTCAATATTCCATAAAATTTAACAAACAAACGAAGAATTTCAAGGAACTAAACAAACGAACATTTTGTAACTCTCCTTTAACCACGAAATATAATCATCACGAGAAAAAGTTGTGGGCTTTAGGATTTGAGTGACTGGGTATATTACAGATGTAACCTTTTAGGGAATTTCTTTGTATTTCTATCACTATTCAATAAAGAGTTTTTTTAAAAATCTAAATTGGTGCAACATAAATTTAGTATCACTAATATAAATTTACGTGTCCAAAACATTCTTGTAAAAGGAATTTTGATTTTGAAAATCTTTTATTTTGTAGAAAAAATTATTTTAAATAAATGTACTAAGTGAGTTTCGTAAATGAATAACATCAGATTATGAATTTATTGGAGTACTGCTGTTTATTCCTTAAAAATGAACTATTTTCATGAGAAAAGTGA